TCAACTTGATGTTGACAATGACGGTCACCAGTAGGAAAAGCACTGCCCCTGTCTGAGAGGAGCGGTAGGGATGACTAAAGAGGGGCACCCCCTCCAGATCATTGAGGGTCTTCCTGAAAGGAGGGCCCTGGCTGCAGTGAGGACACAGGGAGATCCTGGGGCCTCTCGTCCCTCTGTCCACCCAGTTCTACTCCCCCCAGCCAGGGTCCAGTTTCACAACCACCTCCTCCTGGGAACCACCCCTGACCCTTCTCTCTTCATCAGGGCCCTTCCTACCCAGAGCTCCTGTATTCTTCCATTTGAGGCCCTGATTTCCTTGGTCCCCTCCACAATTAGTTCCTAGAGATGGAGCCAGTCCCAGAGAACCAAGCTGGGGATCAGAAGACCTGGGTCTTAGCTCTGACTGCCTGACAGGTGTGTGTACCCCTGGGCAAAGCCTTCCTGATTAGACTTCAGGTTTTTGTCAGAAGTCTAGGAGGTTGTACTTGGGTTCTGATTCTAGAACTCTGGGCCCAAACCACCACCTCGTAGCGACGTGACACAAAGAGGTTTCCTCTCTAGGAACCTGCCGCCCCTTTCCAGGGTTGGGGGTAGCCAAGGTAAGTCCCAGTGCCAATAGTCTAGGCTAGGGTAAAGCTGGGAGGGAGCCCCTAGGAGGTTTGGGACATTTCTATACCTGACAGAATCTCCGCAGGGCCCGCTGGTTGGTCAGTTTATACTTCCAGGTAAGATACCAGCTCCGCTTCTTCCGAGCCCCAAAGGGCTTGATGAGGGAGCTGGGCTTCCAGTCGTCCATGCCGGATTGGGGAGTCACCACTGTCCTGGCCAACCCATGCCTTCAGGAATCTGAGAGGACCAGAGGGTCACATGGAGTAAGGTGTTCCTCCCAAAGTCTGATACCTTCTAGGGAGACCAGGGAGGACCTCCCAGCAACGCTTCCCTGAAGACATCCACGCTGTGTGACCTGAGAAAAGTGGCTCAACTTCTCTGAAGAGGAAACCTTCAGAGGGGTCAGATCACCTGGAAACTCCCCCTGGGGCTGGGGTAACTGACACAGCTGCTCGGGGACCTTCCCCCCCCCCGCCCCCCGCGCCGGAGAAGGGGCCAAATAATCGGCTCTCGAGGTTTATCAGCTCCTAAAAGGGCCAAGCTCCAGGTCTTCCTAGTCCTGTTGTGGGCAAAGGGCGGAGACAACCCCCTTCCCCAGCCCCCAATCCTCCACCCCCTTGCGCCCTCGCCCTCTCCTATCTGGCCCCATTCTTCTCCTCCCAGGGCTCGGGGCCGCCTGAGGACTCGGGAAACCTGCCCCGGCCGCGCCACCCCTCCCGGACTCTTGCCCAGAGGCACTCACGGCTCAGGGGGCCCGGGCCCCACTCGGGCCCCTCTCGGGCCCGCACTGCTCGGCCCGGCGCGCCGCGGCCTCCGCCTCCTCCATGCCGTTCGCGGCCCCGCCCCGGCCCGGCCCGGCCCGCCTCCCCGCTTCCGCCGCCGCCGCCGCGGGGTGAGAGGGCGGCGGGCGGCGCTTAGGGCGGCGGCGACGAGTGTCAGCAGCCCGCGAGTGCCGCGAATACTCAGCAGCCCCCAGCTCGCAACCAGCGGGCGGGGTGGCTGCTGGGGGAGAGCAGATCCGCCCCCCCCCCCGACGTCTTGGTCCCCAGCATCGCCGATGGCAAACTGGATTCAAATCGGAGTCCTAGAGATTTGGACTAGACCACTAGGGATTCCAGGGTCATAGGGCCTACAGGCCTCGGACACAGCTACCTGCTCCCCTTGCTTGGCCAAGGCTGCATGCACCTAGGTCTAGGGTATGCAGGCCTAGGGTATGCGTTTGGAGGCTGAGGGGAATTAAAAACCTGCTTCTACCACGACCCGAGACCTTGGGCAAGTCACTGCACGTCTCAGCCTAGGTTCCCTCCTCTGTGAAATGCTTACTCTATATGATGCTTGCTCTATGCCAGTCACTGTTCAAGCACTTTACTTCCATCAACTCATTGAATTCCACAACCCCATGAGTTAGGTGCTATTACTAATGAGGCCCAATGTCACAAAGCTAGGAGAGCTAGAATTCAAACCTAGGCATCCCAGCTCCGGATTTTACTCACAACCCCTGCCCTATACTGACAAGAAAAATACAGAGTTGTTGTGAAGGTTTAATGAGATAATACATATAAAGCACTTAGCTTAACATAGTAATTCTCAAACTTTACCTTGCATCAGAATCACTTGGAGGGTGCCTTAAAACACAAATTGCTGGGCCCCATTCTAAGAGTTTTTGATTCATAGTCTGGGGTAGAGCAGAATACTGCATTTCTAACAAGTTTCTAGGTGATGGAGATGCTTATTTGAAGTGAATGGGTAGCTATGCAAGTTGTAAGCAGAGGAGCAATATAGTCCCATTTAAGAGAACCTTTACTGTTTTGTGAAGACTGTTTTAAAAGGAAACAGAGGAAGCCAGACCAGTTAGATTTTTTTTTTTTTTTTGAGCTCTCCATATTCCACCTGCTCCCTACGTGGTGGGATGGTATTCCCCCCGCCCCCCACACACACACCAAATGTTAACAGTACTTATCTTAGAAGCTAAGATAATAAGTGATTTTTCCTTAAATTTTTTTTTTCCAACATTTATTTATTTTTGGGACAGAGAGAGACAGAGCATGAACGGGCGAGGGGCAGAGAGAGAGGGAGACACAGAATCGGAAACAGGCTCCAGGCTCTGAGCCATCAGCCCAGAGCCCAACGCGGGGCTCGAACTCACGGACCGCGAGATCGTGACCTGGCTGAAGTCGGACGCTTAACCGACTGCGCCACCCAGGCGCCCCAATAAGTGATTTTTCCTAATAGGTATGTATTAGAGAACAGAAGAAAATGCAACACATTTTATTAGCATTTGAAAAAGATGTCCCTCAGGGCTCCTTCCTGATCTTCACTCCTCAATCTCACTTTCTATGGAAGATCATATCCACTCTCTTGACCTCTGTAACCACCTAGATTCTTACACTCATATCTGCAGTCCTAATATTTCCTGAGCTCCAGGCTGACCTGTATCTAATTGCCTGCTGGACATCTTCACAGGCCCCTCCAACTCAATGTGACCCCTGCTGTAATCATCTCTTCCCACTCTTAGATCTCTTTTGGGGTTCCCTTCCTTGGTGAATGACAGCAGGAACAGCTGAAGTCATCCTTGACTCCTCATCTCCAACAACCAGCCGAGGTGTCTTTACTCACCAGCATACTCTCTGCACCACGCGCAATGGCTAGCAAATGGTAGATGCTCCATAATATTTATTGAAATCACTCGTTTCCTGAGGAAATACTCATGAATGCCACTATAAACAAATAAATGTAACCAGTCACCAAGTCTTGTCAGTCTTACCTCCTTAAGAGTCCTCCATTGTGGTCTGTTCTCCAATCTCACAACCTGCCCCTCCCTGGTCCAGTCCATTTCAGTTTCTTCCCTTCCAACCAGGTTCCTTGACTCCAGATTTGTACCCCTCCAATCCTTTCTCCTTGCAAATCCAGAGCAGTTTTTCAAAAAGGTAAATCTGGTTTTTAACCTCTGATTTAAAACTCTTCTGTGGATCAAGAGATATCAAGGAAAAACACATTACTTAAGGTTACAAGGTAACCATTAGATGACCTAAAAATAGTGATAGAAATATTTAGGGTCAGTGGAAGAAGGGAAGTACAGAGTGTGAGATAAATCTATATTTATCATAATAGGAAGTCAGTAGATGATATTTAAAATTAATAAATAGTAGTACTGTATAAGCATATGTAGAGTTATGTGTATAAACACCAGAAAAAAAAAAGCTGAACATCATTGTCTTTGGGGCGTGGGTATAGAGGTGGGAAAAGATAAAGCAGGGTTTGCATTGTAAATCCTTCTGTGACCATGTGCTGAAATAATTTGTATTAAAAACCCAAATCAAGCCAAAACAACAACAAAAAAAGTTTTTCATGGCTCCTCATTGCTTATAAAATATAATCCAAGCACTATACAACTATCTTCTACAGTTCTACAGCAGCATGGCCATCACCTGGGAGCTTGTTAGAAAAGAAGAATCTCAGACCCCATCCCAGATCTACAGAATTACAATCTGCATTTTAACAAGATGTGCAGATAATTCATATGCACAGTCAAGCTTAAGCATCAGTCTACAGGATCTGATCTGTCTGGCCCATGTGGACCTTTCATCTTCCATACTGATTACTTCTCAGTGGCCAGAAGAACGTTACTTTCTTTCTTGTTTGTTTGTTTGTTTGTTTGTTTGTTTGTTTAGAGCAAGCAGGGGAGGGACAGACAGAAAGGGAGACAGAGAATCCCAAGCAGGTTCTACACTGTCATTACAGAGCCAGATACGGGGCTTGAACCAACAAAACGTGAGATCATGACCAGAGTCTAAACCAAGAGTCCCTTGCATAACCAACTGAGCCACAAGGCACAGAATGTTACTTTCTATTTCTTTAATCTAAACTCAGTGGCTGGGAGGGGTGGTGGTGGTGCCTGACTGACTCCCTCTTGATCCCCGGTTGTGAGTCTGAACTCCACCTTGGATGTAGAGATTACTTACAAACAAACAAACAAACAAACAAACAAACTTAAAAAAATAAATTCAGTGGCTACACTGAAAGTGGTGTGTGTGTGTGTGTGTGTGTGTGTGTGTGTGTGTGTATGTGTGTGTGTGTGTGTAGGTAGCTAAATTCTGACCACTGTTTTAGACCCAGCCCTTCTACTCCAGGAAGTCTTTCAAAAACCTCTGCAGATCTCTTAATTTCCCAAATTCCTGAGGATGCTTATTTAGCCTTTGTTCTGCAATACAGGGCGCCTGCTGTGTACCTGGCTAGATTTAGTTGGAAGAGTGGGCAGAAGGCACTGAACTCTCCTAGCGCCCCTTCAAGTACAAATCCAAGTACAAATCGCCGAGCCCCACCCATTCCAGGGCCAGACGTTCAGACGTGTGCACAGCCCTCGACCGACACACACACACACACATACACACACGCACGCACACGCGCGCGCGGCTCTGCGCTGCTTTTCTGAGTGTTACGGCGCCCTTCCACCGCCCCCGCGCGGCGCGGGCGGGGACCCACCGGTTCCGCTCGGCGCTAGTCGCGGAGAAAGGAGGACCCCTGGGAACAAGATCCCGCCGTCCGGTCTCCCAGCACTTTTAAGCGGTAGGCCCGCATGGAGGGGACTGCGGAGTCCCAATCGCCTGACCTTCGAGACGTGGAGGGCAAGGTGGGCAGGAAGACCCCTGAAGGGCTGCTCCGCGGGCTGCGAGGCGAATGGGAGCCAGCAACCTCTGGCGCCCTGCTGCTCCCGGGGGCGCCCAACACGGGCCACGGCCTGGGGGACAAGATCATGGCGCTGAGGATGGAGTTGGTGAGTGTGGGCTCCATGGGCCAGGGGATGGAATCCCCAGCTAGGGCTGAGGGACAGACTTATGCCCCCAGAGTTGGACAGGAGAGGAGAGCATTAAAATTCCCCATCTTACTCCTCAGGGTCCCTTCCAGATCAATCCTTAAACCCTGGGGTCCATTAATTGACCCTCCCAAGGGTAAGTGGGGTGTTGATGGGTCCTGAAGACTTGAGGTGGGAGGCATGGGCTCTAGGAAGTTTTTACTGCCAAATAATTGGGCGGGGAGAGGTGAGGATTGGGAAGCACTGAGAACCTAGCACAGCCCAAATCTCCCCCACCCCACCCCTCCACCAGGTGCCATCTATCCCCTGGCCACCATTAAAGGGCAACCAGTTTCTTCTCTTCCTGCAAACTGGGTTGCTCCTCTGAGGCCTCAGTGTTCATGACAGGATTTAGCACAGAAGAGATCTGGGTGAAAACCTCCTGGACTAGGGCCACTAAAGACATCCTCCCTTCCTGCAATGTTCTCCCACCCCCATTTAAAATATTTGGAAGTTCCTAGAACCTGAGCAGTCAGAATAGCAGCACCATCAGCATTGGCTCCATCATATCTGAGCCCCCCAAGGATATTTATATTTTATCTGTAACTTCTTGGGGAGAAGAGAAGGAAACAGGCACCCTCCCCCTCCCCTGTTGCTGCTGGTCTAGATTCAGAGCCAGAAGGGCATCTGGGGCTGCCTAGGCTCCCCAAGGCCCTAGTTCCGGTGAAGGGGGTGATTCACACCTGCCACCACTTTGCAGCCAGTTCTGGGGAACCGAATAATTCTCTCTGGCTTAGAACCAGGAGGCCATGGTGAGTGTGTCAGTTAATAGGTTTTACTGGAGCCCCACTGTCTGACCAGTTCTGTGCCAGGCTGGGCTGTGAGAGAGCAGAGAAGGAGGGCATGGGAGCTCCTAGACAGCCTGCAAGTCTGAGAGGAGAGCCTTGTGGGCAGAGTAATCAGGGAAGGCTCGTGGGGGAAGGATTCGAATGCCATGTGTGCACTTGGCCCTGAAGGTTGGAGGTGAGTGCCAGATTCTTCAGGGCAGGGCTGTGACTGCCCACCTAAGGGAGGGGCTCGAATTTGCCTCATTGTACAAAGTGGTGCCAGGTATCATGTTGAGCACTTTACAAAATATTCGCTTAATACTCACAGCAACCCTATTTGGCAAGTGATCTTTTATAGATAAAGAAACTGAGGCACAGAGAGGTTAAATAACTACTCAAGGTCATATAAAAAGTAAAATGCAGAGCCAGGCTTTGAATCCAAATGATCTGCCTGCACTTTACATTTTTACCGTTGAGATCTGCTTTGTGCCAGACACTCTAAAGACATTTTACGTCATTGAAGTGAGAGGAGCAGTCATCATTCCTCCATAGGATGAAGCATGCTTGCAGGTGTTCAGGGGCTTGCCTGGGCTCACTCAGGAGCTCCGTGGTGGAGCCATGCCTCCTCTCTGGCTCAGAACTCTTCTGCCTTTGATGGAGATTTTCTGGTTGTAAACTTTAAGGGGGTGCATTTAACTTCTGATCAGGTCTCTGCATTCTGTTTTTAAAATTTTTTAATGTTTATTTTTGAGACAGAGAGAGAGAGAGAGAGAGAGAGAGAGAGAGAGACAGGGTGTGAGTGGGGGAGGGGCAGAGAGAGAGGGAGTTGCAGAATCTGAAGCAGGTTCCAGCCCCAGCTCTTGGGCACAGAGCCAGACCCTGGTAATGACCTGAGCCTAAATTGGAGCTTAACTGACTGAGCCACCCAGGAGCCCCAGGTCTCTGCATTCTTGACCCAGCCTGGTCTAGGACCCTAGGCTGCCCATTAAAGGCACAAAGGAGGGCGCTTGCTTGGGGGCCCAAACAGTGAAAGGTCACTACCTACCCCATTCCTTTCTCTCTCCTTGGTCAAGGTGTCATTGATATCTTTGCGTACTCTGCCCTGCCCACTGGGTTGCACCTAGGGAGGACGGGACAGGGCAGGGGGTTTCCCTTGGAGCAACTGGTGGCAGTACTGGTCCAAGCCCTCTAAGCACTGTCCTTCAACTGTCCCTCTCCCAGCAATCCTGCAGGGAGGGGACAGGCCTGCTCTTGAGGCCAAGGTTATTCCTGCTTCTAGGCTCCTTTCCTCTTGGTTCCCTCCCCCTCTCACACGTTGAGTGAACCAGCCAGAGTCTGGGGTATGTGGGAAAGGAAAACAATAGCAACCTTCCCTACTTAATCCACCCAAAGAACTGTTGCTGTGACAACCTGCCCCCACAGAGCCCCCTGCAGAGCAGCTTGAGAAAAAGCTTCAGGCAAGAAGGAGGAGAAGACCTGGGTTCAAGTCCTGGCTCAGCTCCTGAATTATTTTGAGATCTTGAGCAGGGCCCTGACTTTCTTTTGGCCTCAGTTTTTCTGCCTCTTGGAAGATGAGAGGACAGGAGCTTGTGGGACCAGACAGTCCTAGTAAGAATAGTCTGAGAATCTCAATCTGTGGCCAGGGAGCTGGGCCTGGAATCTCCAGGCTTTACCCCAGGGCCTGATTTGTATTGAGTGATGAGGGAGCCATACTTGTGACCCCAGGGCTGGGCTGAGAGTCTAATATGTATGTGTTAAGTGGGGGAGTGGGGAACCTGAATCCCCCTGGGAAGAGAATTGGATTGTGGTGGCCTTTAAGGCTGCATCTCTCTGAGCTATTTATACCTTTCTGTTTCCAAAGAGATGGTGTGGAATGAGTGTTTCTTTTTCTGGCAAGAAAAGTCTTGCTTTTTTCTATTCTGGGGAGTGATGCTGTCACAGTCAGGGAATCCCACTGTCACAGAACTCATTTTTCATCAGCATGGTAAAACCCAACCCCCTGAATCCTGGAGACCTCCAGAGGGGCCAAGGATGGTAAAGGCAATAGGATCACAAAGTCTAATATGACCTAGGCTAAGCACCATAAATGAACTGTGCAGGACCTACTCTCGGGGAGCTCACAGTCTGAATTCACAGGAAGGAGGGAGAGAGACTAATAACTCTGGTACAGGACCATAAGTGTTATTGGAACACAGCATGGGCTTCCTGGAAGAGTTTTCATTAAGGAGTGACATGGTCAGATTTGTACTCTGGAAAGGCTACTTTTTTTTTTTTTTTTTTTTTTATGATTTAATTTTTAAGTAATGTCTACATCTGTCATGGGGTTTGAACCCTCAACCCTGAGATCAAGAGTCATACACTCTACTGACTGAGCCAGCCAGGCACCCCTGGAAAGGCCACTTTGAATTGGAGGGGTTACATGCTGTTTCCTCTGGTTGGAATGTCTCTCTCCACCGCTTAGTCTGGCTAAGTCCTACTTAACCTTTATGCCTCGGCTGATGTGCCTTATTCTAGGAAGCATTTTCTTACCTCCCTTTGTTGGGCTAGGGCCCTCTAGGTACCTGTGGCCCTCTATATAGCAGTTGTTTCCCCTAGCATTTACTACGTTGAATTTTTAGTGCTTGTGTCATTGTCTTATCTTACCCATAGATTGTGAACTCCCTGAGGCTAAGAAATGGTGTCTTTTCTTCCTTTAACACAATGCAATGCCTATAAGAAACACCCAATAAATATTGTTTCATAACTGAATGGATTAATTACATCATGAGGAAGAGCAGGGAAGACTTCCTAGAGGAGGTGGCATTTGAGGCTGGGGCTTGAAAAATGAATAAAGTCAGTGGGAATTCCAATTCAAGATGGCAGATTGAACACATGCATTTACCTTCATTTCCTTCTGAAACTTCACTAAAAAGCCAATAGAAGGATTTTTTTTTTTTAATTTTTTTTTCAACCTTTATTTATTTTTGGGACAGAGAGAGACAGAGCATGAACGGGGGAGGGGCAGAGAGAGAGGGAGACACAGAATCGGAAACAGGCTCCGGGCTCCGAGCCATCAGCCCAGAGCCCGACGCGGGGCTCGAACTCACGGAGCGCGAGATCGTGACCTGGCTGAAGTCGGACGCTTAACCGACTGCGCCACCCAGGCGCCCCTAGAAGGATTATTTTAAAGGCCATGAAACCATTATGACAACAAAAATAGGAGAGAAGATGATAGGAATAAAATTTTGGAAGCTAAAGAGCAGAAGGAAGACTTGTAACTTAGTAGACCTGAAAAAAAAGCTGAATTTCAAGCTAGCAGCAAGGAAAGCTGAAAAGCAACACATTTTGCACTACAGAAACCCTCAAAGGTCACAGGAGTTGGAAGCACTGGGTATTTCTAGAACTGGGGGGCACAAGTGAAGCTGAAAACAGAAGGGTTTGTGAATGTCTGTTTAAGAATCATATTCTAAGATGGGGCGCCTGGGTGGCTCAGTTGGTTGAGCGTCCGACTTCGGCTCAGGTCATGATCTCACAGCTCGTGAGTTTTGAGTCCTGCGTCGGGCTCTGTGCTGACAGCCTGGAGCCTCCTTCAGATTCTGTGTCTCCCTCTCTCTCTGCCCCAACCCACTCACATTCTGTCTCCGTCTCTCTCAAAAATAAATAAACATTAAAAAAAATTTTTTTAGGGGCGCCTGGGTGGCGCAGTCGGTTAAGCGTCCGACTTCAGCCAGGTCACGATCTCGCGGTCCGTGGGTTCGAGCCCCGCGTCAGGCTCTGGGCTGATGGCTCAGAGCCTGGAGCCTGTTTCCGATTCTGTGTCTCCCTCTCTCTCTCTGCCCCTCCCCCGTTCATGCTCTGTCTCTCTCTGTCCCAAAAATAAAATAAAAGTTGAAAAAAAAATTAAAAAAAAAATTTTTTTTTAATAAAAAAAAAAAAAGAATCATATTCTAAGATCTCCTCCCTAACGGGGCAACCAGATGCCAACCACTTCTTTATGCTAACAGAAGATTGGAGATGTAAGTTTTGGAAAAGAATAGTACAGAAGGAAGGGAAGAAGGGGAAGGAAGGAGAGAAGAAAGGAAGAAAGGAGGAATTATAGCAGGAGAAGCATTTTTAGTATGAGAAGTTTTATTTAATACATCTAGTTTGGTTTTGGACTAGGGCTGCTGGTTTCAC